ACATACATACATACATACATATATACATATATGGCATTACATAGGTTGCACACCACGTATTGCACCACGCATGTGCCATGCACAACATACATTGCACCACACAGATTGAACAACATGCGTTGCTTTACACATATTGCATAATGTATAATGTTAGAGCAACTTTGTTTGGGGTCAGCGCTGGCTCGTCTACACACATATACATTTACATAGCTGTAAATAACAAGAACGTGAGCTATGCGCGCGCGTGTGTGTGTGTGTGTGTTTGTGTGTGTGTGTGTGTGTGTGTCTCTGTGTGCTTCCCATTTTTGGGCTCCTGGGGCGCCATACTGGGCCCCGGGACCATCGAAAGCGGATCCGGGACACAAAAATACCCCCAGGGAGGGGACTCATGGGACCGCGGATGGAGCAAATCATATCGGAGGATGTCTGGGGACGTCTGGCGCCATCATGTTTTTCTGCAGCGTGGCCCTCAACGAGGGATGCGCGCGGACGGGTGGGGGGCACCGGACGTGATGAAAGAAGAAGAAATGAGGACATGACATGTGGAAGATGCCATAGCCCCGGACATGGCACCATGGTGCCCCCACAGTTCTCACCTCTATCTTCGGTGCCTGCTGTTTCTCGGGTCATAACTCGGGCCTCCAGCGGCCGCTTGGGACGATCTGGGCACCCCCAGAACGCTCTCGGCGAGGCGCAGCGGCTGGAGAGCACCCCGCGGCTGGACAACCGCGGAGAACCAACGACAACGCTCGAAAAGAACGAACCTCGAACCCGAGGCGTCCTCTTTCTCGTCCTCTTCCTCCTCCTCCTCCTCCTCCTCCTCCTCCTCCTCCTCTTTCTCGTCCTCCTCCCTCTGCTGTACCTAATATTCTTCCTCCTTTTCGTCTTACTCCTCCTCGAGAAGAGGTGGGGGTCATACTTCTCCTCCACAGGGAGGTGGGGGGGACCTCTGGGAACCGACGAGAACGCCCGAGACTCTCGAACCCCGAAGGAGCCGGGGCGCACCCCCCTCTTGGACGCTCCCGGGCCCATGGGGCACAGGAGCGCCCCGCGCCCCTCGGCGACTTCTTTGAGCCAGCGGGCGCAAGCGAGTCGAGGCTGGTGCAGGCGCCGGGCGGGCCACAGGCGGGACACGCCGGGAACTTCTCGAGGCAGAAGCGGAGGCGTACGCGGAGCAGGCGAAGAGGCGAGGTCCGTTCAGAACATGCAGTCCGTCGCGGGCGTGCCGAGGAAGTGCAGGGCGCCAAGGCGCGGCTGCGGCTCACACCCTCGGCTAGACGTAAGAGAGACCCCAGGCAAGAGCGGCCTTTGCTGCGCGACCTTCGGGGGCCGCGGGGAGGCCGAACCGAGGTGCGCAAGCCGTTGCTGTCGCATTGCGTCCAGCTATCCGCGGACCCCAGTGTGCCCGCACCCAGGGTCACCCCAGCGAAAGGTCACTCACGTATATTAGCGGCGCGCGCAAGGGGGTAGGGGGCGGGGGGAGGGCTTCTTAGGAGGCCGCTTCTTAGAGGGCGCGGGCCTCACATGTACAGTCAAGGCCCGCGCCTTCTAAGAACCTGCCTCCATCTAAGAAACCTTCCCCCCTCCCCCTACCGCCGCCCCCTCTGCGCGTTGCCGACCCTTAGCCAAGGGCAAGTTCCCATCCCGAACGATACGGCGAAGGTGTTGGACAAGGAAACGTTGGGTAACAAATCCTGGGCCTGGAAGCCGGTGGAGCACCAATTGATGCTTGGCCGTGGATATCATCGCCGCCCTCATCGAATAAGCCTCAATTGGTGCTCCCCCGGCTCCCAGGCCCTGGGTTCCTTACCCAACGTTTCCTTGTCAAGCGCCTTCGCCGTATCTCTCGGGATGGGAAGCTGGCCCTTGGGGAAGGGTCGGCAACGCGCAGAAGGGGGTAGGGGGAGGTGGGAGGGCTTTTTAGAAGGAGGCAGCTTCTTAGAATGCGCGGGCCTTGTCTGTAGATGTGAGGCCCGCGCCCTAGCCCTCCCCCCTCCCCCTACTCCCTCTTGGGAAGGGTCGGCCACGCTCATAGGGCCCTGGAGGATTCCTTATCCGAGAAGGGCGGCGGTGATATCCGTGGCGGAGGTCACCCCGCACTACCATTAGGTCGGGCATGTCCTCCTACAGGCGGATTTTGGATGACAGATTTACAACAGTCAAAAGATACCCTTAAATATTAGAAAAATGATAGGAGAAACGTCTCCAGACTATTTTTGTACTATTCTTGAATATTCCTCCTGTAGAGGGACAAGCCCGACTTAACAATACCACCTGCCCGAGGATCGATGGGGGAGGGGAAGCGCCAGGGTCGAGCAATGCCGCGGCTCAGCGGCGCGCGGGCGCGCGGGTGTGTGTGTGTGTGTGTGTGTGTGTGTCTGTGTGTCTGTCTGTCTGTCTGTCTGTCTGTCTGTCTGTCTGTCTGTCTGTCTGTCTGTCTGTATGTATGTATGTATGTATGTATGTATGTATGTATATATACACACACGCGAGGGAGGCGGTCCTCCGAGAAGGCCGGGGAGGGGGGGGGGGCTGCCGGGGAGCCCTCCCGCCCTCCCGACTACCAGGCCACCCCAACCCAATCCGAAGACCCCAATTGCGGGTACTAGAGGCCTCCTAGATGGGGTCCGAGCAGATGGAGTCGGAGGATCGCGCCGCATCGCCAATGCATCACCGATGCATCGGCGCTGCATCGGCGATGCATCGCCGACGTCGGCGACGCTTCGGCGACGTCGGCGTGGAGAAAATCGGGCTCCGCATCGAGTCGCATCGCCGATGCATCGGGGATGCTATGCGAGGCATAGGGGTACGGGTTTCATATGTGTTTTTCCATGCTCCTGGGCGCTCACCTCCCCCCCATTGGCAATGGAGGGCAAATTGGGACCTTCGGGTTGGAGTTGGGGCGGTCTGATGCTAGGGCTCCCAGCTTCGCGCTTCGCGCTCCGCGAAGCGCGAAGCGCGAATAACTTCGCGCTCTCGCGCCGCCCTCCCAAAGGGAGAATAGGAGGACGAGGAGGAGGGGGAGAAGGAACGAGGACCGCGAAGCGCGAAGCGCGAATAACTTCGCGCCCTCGAGGGAGCCCTTGCTGATGGGTGGTGACTTCTTCACCAGGCCCCTCAGAATAAGAAACACACGGCACGAGCATAAACTTCCGCAGGTCCGCGTGGACTTCTCGCGTCGGCGTTGGGCCCCCCTGGCGGCGCCTCTGGCGCCGCCCCTAGCGCGCTCCGCTTGCCAAGGGCCCCGACTTCGAGTCCGCCGTACCTTTCTTGATTTTCTGGCGTGGAAAAACGACGGGAGTGCACCCCAAACAATGCGAACAAATGAGGCGGAAGTTTCCGCATCCGAGGAGTGGGGCGGACATTTCCGTAACCGCATGGCGGAAACAGCGATGGCAACATGGGGCGAAAACCGACACCAAGGGAGATCAACCGGCAGGGCGATCTCGCCCCCATCACGGCGGGTCCGAAGCCGGGGGGTTCCCCTGGGCCGGCTTTTCACCCCGAGCGGCCTCCAGGCGGCCCCGGGGCCCGGTGGAGGGCCCTCGAGGGCCGAGGAGAGTGCGGAGCAGCGTCGCGGCGAGAGGAGGCGTGACTCTCGGAGCACGGCTCGAGTCTCCAGCGGCCGTTCGGGACGGCCCTGGCACGCCCAGGACGCTCTCGGCGAGGCGCGGCTGCTGGAGGGCACCCCGAGGCCCCGGGGCCGGGCGGGGGCCCCCGAAGGCAGAAGCAGGCGTAACATACGAGAGCGGCACCCGTGCACCGAATGATGTGGACTTCCTGCAGGCCCTGCTCCAGCGCGGGAGGGTGCAGAGCAGTCCGGCTCCGAGGGGCCGAACAACGATGCACCGTACACCGTGCAGTCGGACCTAGGCCAGAAGACCGTCCCCCAAGAACAGGAGACCCTCCGTCGGCCAAAGCAAACAAAACATCCAAAGATACCCTCCCCAGGATGCACAATCACATCCGACAAGCGCGAAGAGCACTAGAGTACCCTCGCAGAACCATCCTCAACCTTTTTACTGTGGACGCCCGAAAGGGGTACGGAAAAAATGTGTACGATGCCCAACAACAAATGTTATCCAAAACTGACAGCGCCCGCTGTTGGGCAGGCGGCCTTCTGTCTCAAATGGACGACATCCGCGGGGACACCGACAGCGAGTCCTGTTCAAACTGAACAGGAAATGCTGTCGGCCCTTGTGCCCATTCTTTCCGTACCCTTGTCGACCGTCCCGATATACCTCGGTCCGATTGTACCATTCCCGGGCCGAAGTTTCGACACGGCCTCGGGGGACGCCAGCGCTGCGCGCCGCATGCAGGTCGTCCGCGGAGAAAGCCCTCCGCGCGCCAGAGAGTCGGCGGCGAGCGAGGGGGGGGAAGTCAGGAGGAGGCTTTCTCAGAAGGCGGCGGGACCTCTCGGAAGCCCCCGCGCCCTCTGCGAAGGTCTCTGCGTCTTCGGGGAAGGCTCCGAAAGCTCCTCGGAAGGCCAAGGGACCTCCGAGAAGGCCCGCCCCTTCTCACTTCCCCCCCCTTGCTCGCCGCCGATCAGACGCCTGGAGTCTTGGTCCCAGACCCTCGACGCCATAACTTCTTCACGACGTCGACCCGCGGAGGTCTGGACCCCTTCCCTGGGACCGGTCTTGCCTCCCGAGCCGTCTTCTGGCGCCCCCCGGGGCCCGGGGAGGGCCCCCCGGAGGCCGACCCCGACGAAAAGCCTCCCGCCGTGCCCTTTCTCAAGGGCTCCTAAGTTCGCGCTTCGCGCTGCGCGAAGCGCGAATAACTTCGCGCCCTCGCGCCGCCCTCCCAAAGGGAGAATAGGAGGACGAGGAGGAGGGGGAGGAGGAACGAGGACCGCGAAGCGCGAATAACTTCGCGCCCTCGGGGGAGCCCTTGTTTCTTCGCCGCCGAGGGGGGGGCCCAGCGCCGACCCCCAGAGACGTCCGCGCGGACCTCGAGGCGGAGCCCGAGGGGGGGCGCGAGGCCCCGAGCGGCCCAGCTGCCTCCGCGCGGCGCGGGGCGGCGCTGCACTGGCCCGCGCGCCCCTCGAGGGCGGCGGCAGGCCGTCGCCGCCGCCGTGGCAGTGGCCGCCGTCGCGACGACGACGCCGCCGACGACGACGCCGACGACGCCGACGACGCCGACGACGACGGCGCTGACGACGACGAACGACGACGACGACGCGGACGACGCTGACGACGACGGACGACGACGACGACGACGACGACGACGACGACGACGACGACGGCGGACGACAACGATGACGAAGGACGACGACGACAACGGACGACGACAACGACGACGTACGACGACGCTGACGACGACGCTGACGCTGACGCTGACGCTGACGCTGACGGCGGCGGCGATGACGGCAGCCGCCGCCGCCGCCGTGGCAGTGGCCGCCGTCGCTAGACGACTGGAACAAAAAGCATACGGCTTGCGACCCTCGGGGCCGTCGCCAAGACGGCTCGATATGAAAAGCTGGTCCGGGGGAAGAGGTCTACGGTCAGGACCTTTTGCTTAGCGTGTCGCGGCGGCGGCCTCGGCAACACGGTAGGCCCTGCGAGCAGATAGCGTGTCGCTCCAGCTCCGCGGGGCGGGAGGCTTCGAAAGGCTCGGGACGGTGACGCTCGGGGACTGGCGCGTTGATTGCATGTCGGGCCGAAGCGCGGTGGGCCAGAACCGGCGGCGCGACACGCTGAGCCAAAGTGCCTAACCGTTGACCTCAGGGGGTCCAAGTTGTGACCTAGAAAAACACGACGTCGGACTCCTGGGAACTCTCACTCATCGTCGTCGCCGCGGAACTCTTGTTGTCCGCAACCGGGCCGCAAAGCACAGAGTGGAGTGTCCTCGGGTCCCCTCGAACTTCCCGCACTGGGGGTTGCAAGCGCTCTCGATGGCTCCGGGAGCCTCGTTGCGGGTCAATGCATTATGAGCTCGACCACAAGAAACCTTCCACAAGAAACCACACTCCGAGACCCCAGGACGTTCATGAATTTTTGGTGTGGGAACGTTACCTTTCCACAGCAAAACCATCTAAACCAAATCACTCCGACGGAAAGACCCCACATGAAAATCGTTTCGGCTAATCTGGAAATAACCTTCACAGTCGTGCGGGTCCCATAGGGAAGGGGCTCCTGCCTGAGACTTCCTCGCAAGTCATTCACAGACGAGCCTGCCGCCTGATACTCCCCCCATATTCAGACCTCAGGTGCCCAACAATGGCGAACGTTACAGGTTCGAGGATGACCCGCTCGGATTAAGAACATAAGCTGCGAGCCCCATAGGGCGAGGGTTCCCGCCTGAGACTTCCTCGCAATTCACTCACAGACGAACCTCCCGCCTGATACTTCCCCCATATTCAAGCCTCAGGAGCCCAAAAGTGACGACAGTTACAAGTTCGAGGATGACCCGCTCGGATTAAAAACATAAAGTGCGAACTCCATACATACGGAGAGGGCTCCCGCCTGAGACTTCCTCGCAATTCACTCACAGACCAGCCTCCAACCTGATACTTTCCCCATGTTCAGGCCTCAGGTGTCCAAAAATGGCGACGGTTACAGGTTCGAGGATGACCCGCTCGGATTAAAATTCGCCGGCCCAACGGGCCAGAGGCGTGCTAAGATCTCCGGTAACTGCTAAATCATACTTCTACTTCGCGCGCGCAGGGCGGCCCCTGCGGGTCCCCGGACGAAAAGTACCCCGGGCGATCCCCGGCAGACTCGGGTCAGAGATGGTTTTCCTCCTGGGCGCCGCCCCCGTGGCCCTCCAGAGAGTCCCAAGAAGGGCCACGAGGCCGCCAAGAGCCCTCCAAGATGGTTCAAGAGTGCTCCGAGATGCCACACGATCGTTCCAAGACGCCCAAGATGGCCCCCACACGCCCCAAGATGCCTCCAAGAGCACTCCCCAGAGGGCCCCAAGAGGCACAATTCATTACTTTTCCTTAAGTTTTAGGTAGATTTTGGCGTGTCCATCTTTTCGGCTTCCCGACGCCCCAAGACGGCCCAAGAGGCCCCCAAGATCGCCCCGAGAGGGCCCAAGAAGCTCCCAAGAAGGCCCCAAGATGGCCCAAGAGGGCTCCAAGACGGCCCCAGAGGCATCCAAGACGGCCCAAGAGGGGCCCAAGAGGGCCCCAAGCGATGCCCCAAAGGGGGAACGCAAAACAAACCTTCGAGCCCTCGGCCTTAAGAAGCCCCCAGGAGGCCTCAAGAGGCCCCTGAGAGGCCCCAAAAGCCCCCAAGAGGCCCTCAGGAGGCCCCCAAGCGACGCTGAAGAGGCCCCCCAGCGGCCCCAAGAGGCTCAGTCATGCGAAATGGGCCGGCGGAATGAACGAAGCGATTCAATAAATCTAATGCGGGCCCCATAGGGAGAGGGCTTCCGCCTGAGACTTCCTCGCAATTCATTCACAGACGCGCCTCCCGCCTGATACTTCCCCCATATTCAGGCCTCAGGAGCCCCAAAGTGACGACAGTTACAGGTTCGAGGATGACCCGCTCGGATTAAGAATATAAAATGCGAGCTCCATAAGGGGGAGGGCTCCCGCTTGAGACTTCCTCGCAATTCACTCACAGACGAGCCTTCCACCTGATACTTTCCCCATATCCAGCCCTCAGGAACCTAAAAATGACGACAATTTCAGATTCGAGGATGACCCGCTCGGATTAAGATTATGAAATGCGAACTCCATACGGAGAAGGCTCCCGCCTGAGATTTCCACGCAATTCACCCACAGACGAGCCTCCTGCCTGATACTTCCCCCATATTCAAGCCTTAGGAGCCCAAAAAGTAACGACAATTACAGATTCGAGGATGACCCGCTCGGATTAACAACATAAGGTGCGAGCCCCAGAGGGAGGAGGGTTTCCGCCTGAGACTTCCTCGCAATTCACTCACAGACGAGCCTCCCACCTGATACTTTCCCCATATCCAGCCCTCAGGAACCCAAACATGGCGACAGTTACAGGTTCGAGGATGACCCGCTCGGATTAAACATGTAAAATGCGAGCCCCATAGGGGGAGGGCTCCCGCCTGAGACTTCCTTGCAATCCACTCACAGACGAGCCTCCCGCCTGATACTTCCCCTATATTCAGGCCTCAGGAGCCCAAAAGGGACGACAATTACAAGTTCGAGGATGACTTGCTCGGATTAAAAAACATGAAGTGCGGGGTCCATAGGGCGAGGGCTCCCGCCTGAGACTTCCTTGCGATTCACTCACAGACGTGCCTCCCGCCTGATACTTCCTTCCTCCACATTCACGCCTCAGGAGCCCAAAAGTGACGACAGTTACAGATTCGAGGATGACCCGCTCGGATTAAAATTATCCTGGCGAAGGTCCCAACCATATGCAGTTGTGGGTACCGTAATTATGAAGATCTGCTTCGGTGAAGCTCCCTATGGGACCACGTAGCGCTGCACTGGGCGGGGGGAGCGCTGTGCTGCGTGGGTGGTGTGCCGAATTGGGTTTCCGGGACGCATGCGGACGGTCCCACTGAGGGCTTCGGTGGAGCTCCCTATGGGGCCACGAAGCGTTCTACTGAGCGAGTGAAAATGCCAAATTGGGTTTCCGGGACGCATGTGGACGGTCCCACTGGGGGCTTCGGTGGAGCCCCCTATGGGGCCACGAAACGCTGCATTGCGCGGGTGAAAATGCCAAAGTACATTTCCCGGACGCATGCGGACGGTGGCACTGGGGCCTTGGGTGGAGCCCCCTATGGGGCCACGAAAGGCTGCACTGGGTGGGTGAAACTGCCAAACTGGGCTTCCGGGACGCATGCGGACGGGGGCACTGGCCTTCGGTGGAGCTCCCAATGGGGCCACGAAGCGCTGTACGGGGTGTGCACGACGCATGCGGACGGTAGCACTGGGACCTTCGGTGGGGCTCCCTATGGGGCCACGAAGCGCTGTACTGGGCGTGCGGGACGCATGCGGGCGGTAGCACTAGGACCTTCGGTGGGGCTCCCTATGGGGCCATGAGACGGTGTACTGGGCGGGTGAAACGCAGGGAGGAAGGGGAGGAGGGCCACGAAACGCTGTACTGGGTGTGCGGACGCATGCGGATGCTAGCACTGGGACCTTCGGTGGGGCTCCCTATGGGGCCACGAAGCGTTGTACTGGGTGGGTGAAACGCAGGGGGGAGGGGCAGGAGGGCCACGAAACGCTGTACTGGGTGTGCGGGACGCATGCGGACGGTAGCACTGGGACCTTCGGTGGAGCTCCCGATGGGGCCACGAAACGCTGTAGTGGGTGTGCGGGACGCAAACGGACGGTGGCACTGGGGCCTTCGGTGGGGCTCCCTATGGGGACGCGAAGCGCTGTACTGGGTGGGTGACACGCAGGGAGGAGGGGGAGGAGGGCCACGAAACGCTGTACTGGGTGTGCGGGACGCATGCGGGCGGTAGCACTGGGACCTTCGGTGGAACGCCCTATGGGGCCACGAAACGTTGTAGTGGGTGTGCGGGACGCATGCGGACGGTAGCAGTGGGACCTTCGGTGGGGCTCCCTGTGGGGCCACGAAACGCTGTACTTGGTGTGCGGGACGCGTGCGGACGGTAGCACTGGGACCTTCGGTGGAGCTCCCTATGGGGTCACGAAGCCCTGTACTGGGTGTGCGGGACGCATGCGGACGGTAGCACTAGGACCTTCGGTGGGGCTCCCTATGGGGCCACGAAGCGCTGTACTGGGTGGGTGAAACGCAGGGGGGAGGGGCAGGAGGGCCACGAAACGCTGTACTGGGTGTGCGGGACGCATGCGGACGGTAGCACTGGGACCTTCGGTGGAGCTCCCTATGGGGCCACGAAACGCTGTAAACGCAGGGGGGAGGGGCAGGAGGGCCACGAAACGCTGTACTGGGTGTGCGGGACGCATGCGGGCGGTAGCACTGGGACCTTCGGTGGAACGCCCTATGGGGCCACGAAACGCTGTAGTGGGTGTGCGGGACGCATGCGGACGGTAGCAGTGGGACCTTCGGTGGGGCCCTCTGTGGGGCCACGAAACGCTGTACTTGGTGTGCGGGACGCGTGCGGACGGTAGCACTGGGACCTTCGG